TCCATACTGATTAACGGTCCGACTCAACTATCGGCCGACAATAAGTCGGTGGTCTGCGCCTAGGTTAAGCGGTCGGACTGGCCGACTCGCTATTAACGAGATTCGTTCGTTCGTTCGTTTCAGCCGAAAGACGTCCACTGCTGGACAAAGGCCTCCCCCAAGGATTTCCACAAAGACCGGTCCTGCGCCGCTCGCATCCAGGCACTTCCCGCGACCCTCACTAGATCCTCGGTCCACCTAGTGGGAGGCCTGCCCACGCTACGTCTTCCGGCTCGTGGTCGCCACTCAAGAACTTTCCTGCCCCAGCGGCCATCAGCTCTTCGAGCTATGTGCCCCGCCCACTTCCACTTGATTTTAGCGATTCTGCGGGCTATGTCAGTCACTCGAGATTATTAACGAGTAGCCCAGTGGCCTAATTCAGGTATCAAAACTTCAACGACATGCAAGCGATTTGTCACTTTTCGTATGTATGTATTAATCGCCCGATTTTGTTTCGATTTCGTTTTTATCCGTATTCGATCGTGCCTCCGCGGTATTCACCTATTACTTTGAATTTTGGTACCAGTGATTAAACGACATGTGAATACGGATTGAAGACTGTTTTTCAATAGGACGAATTCTCAACGTCAACGACATTACTGTTTCAAAATATAGTTCCAAAATACTGAACTGTCCTATGCATGACATTGACAGTGGGGCGCCACCGTCAATACCGGATCGCTGGTTCCGATTTTTGCCATGTTGGAAACCATATACAGGGTGACAGGTAAAGCGATACATTCCTTGAAAGGGGTTAAAGTAGAGCTCTTGAATAACTTGGAAATGAACAAGTTTCGGACATGGTGTCATATGACTTAAATGACTGCAAATAAGCTCTACTTTAACCCCTTTCAAGGAATGTATCGCTTTACCTGTCACCCTGTATATTGAACGATGGTAGCGCCCCCCTGTCATTGAGTTTGGTGGGACAGTTCAGCGTGGGTCATCTATACGTGAATTAGCCCACAGTTCGACTGCTTCACCGTTCTACTATCGTGGCTTCGTATTCGTATACCTCCTTCGACATATTTTCTTTTGTAAGATTAATTTATTTGATATTAATATAAGAATAAGTATCTAATAACAGTTCTTACCTTCCAGACTGATCTACCATATAATGTGCCGGTATATTGCTTTATATTTTATTACTATTAATCATCCTATAGTTAACGTTATTGTTCAGTCATTTTACTGTGAGAAATCCTTAAAAAACCTTAATCCATCTTAACAAAACAAAAAAGTAACTACAAAAAATATTATATTATGAAGTATTATTTTCATTCAAAATTATTAATATTATTTAAATACATATTTTTACAGGACTCTCAAGAAAACCATACAGCAGCTAATGTGTCATAAGAAGAACCATTCATCCATTTGAAAGAAAACATTCCTTTATTTTTGAAAAGAAAGAGAACTACATTCATAGATTTTCGAAAATTCACTACCATACCATACATTTTTCTGTACATGATTAAAATAATTTAAGATTTTATGAATTTCCTTTCATTTGATTTATCAAGTTTGTTAGAGAGATTTCATCCTTATACTTGACCCTAACGATCGATGCAATAAAAATACAGGGTGTAATTTTTAACAGATTTTAGTTGGTTCGATTCCCGGGTGTGGCAAGCAAATTTTTGGAAATCTTAGAATGCAGTTCTATTTCTTTTCAAAAATAAAGGAATGTTTTCTTTGAGAAAATTTTTCTATCTACAATATTAAGAGTACTTTCCTTCCAGGTGGTATTACAAAATTCCACCCTGTATACAATTTTAACGATTGACTAATAGGGTGTCCCGAAATATCTTTTTTTATATTTTCGCTACACAAGATCCCTCAAAAGTTGCGTCATAAGATGTAGATTACCGTAAAAATAATTTAAAAAATATAAAATAATGTCTCAAGGGCTCTACCGGCATTTTTATGTCTCAAAAAATCACTTAATCAGCTCTTCACTGTTTGTCATCTATTATATTTTTTTCACAATTATTTAATTTAATTTTGTAATAACAGTGGCAGTTGAACCCTAAGATATGATTTGCAGGCAATGACAGACTATTTCCAGTGAGGAATAGGTTTGGTTCGAACTCGCAGAATTCATATTTTGACTTGTTTTATTCAAATTTTCTACTCCTTCGGCGAGGCTGTTGGTATTATTTCTGTTGAGGTTTTATTGCTGTAAGGTATCGCACCGCACTTTTTTGTTATAATATTACATACTTTTAGCATATATTTAACAAAAATTTAGCAATATATGGTAGTAATATACTTTTTGGTTTTTTTTCAGGTAAAAACTACCTAGCCAAAAATCTTTATAATATTATATTTAAACAGAATACTAATTGACATGTTAAATAGTTTTAGCATACTATTACATACAAATAACATTTATGTACGTTACATACACTTTCTAGCTGAAGTTTTTGTTGTCTACGAAGTTTTTTATCAATGGTGAACTTCAACGGAAGTAAAAATATATTTTTAGTTATGAAACGCATACATGTTATATATCAAATTAAAGACAATTTAATACACTTCTTTGGCTCGTGTAAAACTTTTAGTGGAGTATAAGACATTTTGTAAAAAAATGATTTAGAAAGTAGTATCACAACAATGTAAAAAAATTCAATTTTCCTTTAATTACTAACTAAAGGTTGATTTTATCGATACAATTTATACTACAAAATATCAAGCGCACACGTAGAGCTATCATTTAAATAAAAAAATAATGAAATCGGACAAATGGTTTTCAAGTTATGGTTGATTTTCTAAAATTGACTGCCATTTTTGTTAGCTTCCACTTAGAGATGCCAATCACTGTTTTATAATAGCCTAATAAAATTATTAACCTGCTGCGAGAACGGAATTGAGTATCCTCAAATTAAATCGATATCTTGGCTCATCCATGGATTAATTAGGAATACATTAAAAACGCGCGCGTAAATGCCTAATTTTGGTTAAAAAGCCAATTCTGTTTTGAAAGTATTTATGGATTTATTACTTTTTAAACTGTTTTAAACCTTGCTGTGACTCATTGTGTACCCTCAAATTTCATAGAAACGCTAGTTTTGTATTATTAATAGTTTATGTTAGGAACCCCTAAAATAGCAATTTAATTTTTTTTTAAGGACAGGTAGAGGCCTCAAGATGACAGGTATCTCATTAAATTTAATGCTAATCGTAATCTGTATGTCAAAACGCAACTTTTGATACCTCTTGCGTAACCGTAGCTCAAAAAAAAATTTTTCCCATACAACGACGGGACACCCTATTGACTAATCAAGAATGTCAATGTCAATTTATCTAGCCAGTTCCTCCGTGGTTGAGGATTTCGGGTGAAGCTCGCTTCCACCTTCGGCCTGATCATCACTTACCATCAGGTGAGATACAGGCCAAGAGCTTCCTCGTTGTGGATAAAAAACATGATAAGAACGAAACGATTACGAAGGAAAACGCGACTTCATCGAATCCTCACGTAATAACTAATGGAAAATGAAAAACAAAATGTATAAACAGATTTTTAATTCAAAGATTGTTCATTGAGAAATATAAATCAACTTAATTTACACAAATTAATTAAGAAGTAATTCACTTTTTAATACAAAATGCATGTTTACAGTCTCTTTAAAATGATGTCGGTTTTAATAATGGATATTTTATAATAATCATAATTTATTATAATTTAGTAATACATTGTTTATTTTTCCAAAATCCTATATGAAATAATGACGCATTCCTAGTATGAAAATTCGGCCTGATCATCACTTTCTATCAGGTGAGATGCAAGCCAAGATCTTTCCCGTTTTGGTTAACGAAAGAAAGTACCTATTTCATAATAAGTAGAAATATTAACTTTATACAGCTTTAGGCTTGATTTCCACCAAAGCGGAGCGGAGAAGACAAGCGGACATAATGAAATCTGATTGGTTATTGAAAACACTTTTCCTTTTAAACCTTTGTTTGTCACCTGTCATCCGCTTTGCAATGGAGGGAAGTCGAACCTTAAATTTCGAACTCCTCCTATGTTCTTCTGATTAAATTCGTTGCGGGTCCAATGACAGTTTAACTTTCCCCCGGGACAAACTTGACCTTCACTGGTTGGGGTTTTGTGGCGGTCAAGCTGTAGATCCTGGCTACACAGGAGTTGCAGCGGTGGGAACGAGAGGTCCGAAGGAGAGCCTTACAGCAACAAATATGTGTCGTCAAACCAAGAGGTTAGTGAGAACTAACGGAATTTTGAAGAATTAAACTAATTAAGAACTACCCAAAATATTGAGTATTTGACATTGACACCATTTCAATTTAACATACCTTTTATCGGTGACCAGTGACGTCACTCATTTACCAACTCATTTGACTATATGTCTAGCGCTTAACTTGGCCAGTGACGTCACTTATTTACCAACTCATTTGACTATATGTCTAGCGCTAAACTTGGCCAATGACGTCACTTATTTACCAACTCATTTGACTATATGTCTAGCGCTTAACTTGGCCAGTGACCTCACTTATTTACCAACTCATTTGACTATATGTCTAGCGCTAAACTTGGCCAATGACGTCACTTATTTACGAATTTATTTAACTATACTTCAGAGACTTCAAATGTGCTTCAGATTTGATGTTCCATCACATTAGTCCCCAAACTTATTTCAGACGCGCCCCCTTTCGAACATACAAAAAATTCCTCAAATCAAGATCATTCCAGACTGCTCAATACGACCAATAAATAGGCGGTTATCACACTGCGCCGCGCTCCGCCGCGAGCTCCGAGCGCGTGATTTTCATATAAAAATTCACGCGCGCGGACGCGTTGTCAGTGTGAAGTGCCGCGCGTGTTTTCTATACAAACTGAGGTACTTGCATACAATGATTAAATCTGTCGGCGCAGTGTGATAAACGCCATATGGTCGTATTGAGCAGTCTGGAATGCATTCTCTCAGCGGTCGCAGGTTTATCATACTTAAGTACACAGACGGCCCGCGCCCCCCTTAAAAGGTCTTTGCGCCTCCCCTGGGCGGCGCGCCCCCCACTTTAGGAACCAATGTTCTATCACGTCAAAATATGTCGATGACTGACTGAGTTAAGTTATAATTTCATAGATTTTAAAGCAATTGAAATCTTATTTCGCAATAAATTGAAACGGGTTGAAGGACTAAAATAATGGTTTTGTAGTAATTAAATTAAGTCTTCAAAATCCTGATTTATATTTTCAGTGTCGCCAAAAACGCAGTCAATCTATAGTATTATTTAAGTTTACTTTTAGTGTAAGTGAATTTCATAGTAAAAAGCTATTATTATTGGTTTATTAGTGAAAAGCTAACTGATGACTTGTCTTTTATTATAATGTGACGTGTTTTTAGTGTTCTTCATACATTTCTCTACATTTAACTAAGTGTCCTTTTGCTAATATATTTATATTGTGACACAGTATGACGAACATTTTATTTTGGCAGTTATACGCTATAATTCAAATTATGTCTAAGAATTTAACTTAAAGTAATACAGTTCTCATCGTTACATAAAAATGGAAATGATTAATAAATGATTTGGTTATATTTACAAGTATTTGTCATTAACTCGCTCTGGGCCCGAGCTTCCTTAGGCAGGCAAGACCCTGGAATCAAAAAACAAGTGACAGTTAATTTAAGAGTTATATTTATACAAGGTGTTAGGTAAATGGGTATATTAGCCGACACTAGCCCATGTTAACATGGTCATATAAATGGTATGATGAAGTCAGAAATTTGATATCATCATTTAATTTTTTTTAATTTTCATACAAAAAAAAATTATAAAATCCGATTTGTAAATAAATTATTAAATAAGCGTTGGTTAGATGCATGTTCATTCGTGCTTTGAATGCTTAAGGGTGAGTTTACGCTAGAAGAGCAGTGGTCGAACTCAGCGCAAATACAACGAGCCTACAACAATGTAAATGTTCGTCAAAAAACCGACAGTTGGATCACAGCCAATAAATCAGCTGTTGTGACGCCACCATCTTTGTTCGCATAAACAACTTCTATTCTTCTTTTAACATTTATACTTCTTCTTCATGATCCGCCCAATATTTCGTTAGGAATATCGAAAAAGGTCCACCCGACTTTTTACTGGGCACATCGCGATATGGCCAGCCAAATCATGAAGTGCCGGCGTTTCACGATGTGCCCGGGGTATCACGATGTGTCACGATGGATTATTCCACTTTGTTCATCTGGGTGATATCACCTGGGTGAATAAAGTGTGATAAATCCATTACGATGTAGCCATTTCAATTTTCAACGATGACAGAGTTTGTAGAAATTATTGGTTCAAAAAGGTGCTATTTTGCAATTTAAATGTGAAGTCTGATGTGCTGTCGACTGTATACAGGGTGTTAGGTAAATGGGTATATGGGCCGACACTAGCCCGAAGAAAATGAAGATATCAATTTTCTGACTTCACCATACCATTTATATGACCATGTTAACATGGGCTAGTGTCGACTCATATACCCATTTACCTAACACCCTGTATAAAATACTAGCTGACCCGGCGAACTTTGTTCCGCCTTAATGGCAATAAATAAGCAAACTTTTTTTTAATTTCGAACGGGATAAAAAGTATCCTATGTCCTTTTCCTGGCTCTAAACTACCTCCCTGACAATTTTCAGCTAAATCGGTTCAGCCGTTCTTGAGTTATAAGCGAAGTAACTAACACGACTTTCTTTTATATATATAGATTAAGTATCTCTGCGGTCTTTTGTATTTGAGATTTGACGCATTGGGGGTATGACCCTATTCCCATTACCTGTTCCTGGTACTCGTTCCGCGACAGCCAAAAGTTGTCCCGGTTCTTGCAGACCTCGGCCAGGACTGCGCCTCCGATGAACACCATGTCCTTGCGCCGAGGCGGGTCCTCGATGCGGATCTTGAATTTCTGCAATAAACAGCCTATTTATAAAGGGACTCAATCTTTACTGGTTGGGTATTATCACAGATCACAGAAACTAAAGGGAGATGTGACAAGGGGGCGGGGCCGGTGTCGCAGTAATATCAGGCCTGTTCATCTCCGCGAGTTTACATCGAAAACAAAACACGCACGCTGGCCCACCTACAGGATACTATTCGACAAGGCCTCACATTTCCTATGTATTATTTTTCTCTATGGCCTCCCATACGAGCGAACATTGACTCGCGCACGCGTATTCTTGTGTATGATGGAAGAAAATAAAGAAAATGGTGTACTGTGCAGTACATATTTAACTGCCTAAATAATAATAAAAACACAGAATGTACTTTTTTAAGTTGCCTCAAGACACTGAGAGGTAAATAAGTAGTTAATATTATTCATGATTTCATGCTAAATCATGACATGTATTTCCTCCGCCATTTTCCGCAGTTAGGCACCTCACGTCACATCATTTTACCGAAGTCAGCCCTATAGCTTCGGCGCAGTGCCGATCACTGACGTTTGTCAACAAAATGGTGCTTGACTCTTGAGACAGGCTAAATTACACCATATTGTTAATGACATTGAGCATACATTTTTATAAATACCTTCGCGAAGTAAAACTTCTGTACGTAGTACTTAATATTATTCTGTGGTAATATGCCCAAAAACAGAACACATTGCTCGTGACAGCAATGATGACAGCAGCGACGTCGTAATGTAAACAGTTTACATTGCTTGCGCAGTACTAAAGATTATTCGAACGTTGATTACTGATACCGCAGTGGATAATGAGCACGTATTTTGATTACTTTGTGTGTGAGCATTTCTAATGCGACACTGAGTTTCGAACTCGGCGCATTAGTTGGCATCTCTCTATATCTCTATGGGTTGTATTGTAGGCCAAACTGGAAATCCTAGTTCCGAGCCGCGAGGCAGCCCGGGTACTATTGTGGCGGGTGCTATTGTGGCGGGTGCTATTGTGTCGGGTGCTCTTGTGGCGGGTGCTATTGTGGCGGGTGCTATTGTGATAGGTGCTATTGAGACAGGTGCTGTTGAGACACGTGCTATTGTAACAGGTGCTATTGAGACGGGTGCATTTGTGACGGGTGCTATTGTGGCGGGTGCTATTGTGCCGCCCTGTATACTCACGGCGAGCTTGTCGCAGTCGTTGCGCAGGACTCGCTCGAGGTACAGCTGTTTGATCTCTCGCTCGAGCCGCGACGGGAGCCCGGGATACATGGTGGAGCCCCCGGATAGGACTATATGCTTGTATAACTCGTTGCGCATGTCTATGTCGGCCGCCTGGTGGAAATACAAACTCATTGATCACAGAGGAAAAGGAGTCAGAAATAAAATCCAACTCTTCTCAACAAATAAAATTAAAATCTGATGTATGTGTTATTAACGACCGCCAGCGACTTCGTACGCGTGGACTCCATTTTACCTCGTTACGGGCTCCTACCAAATTTAAAGTTTACACGCCCATTGGTATGATGTTAATATTCCTTCGGAATAAAGGAACAACCACGAGCTGTCAAACTGTCAAAGGAAACCGATTTTGGATGACTCTGGACACAAATGTGTCAGTGTTAGGATTATTTCAGTTTTGTACAATAAATCAATCACTGAACAAGTCACCACGTTTCTGAAGCACTATTTTTCATAAACATCTACGACAAACAATATTTTATTGAGGGACCTGCTGTATGTACCAGTAATTGACGTCTTATTTAAACCTAAATAGGAGTCCCTTAAGTGCGCCGAGGTTTCCGTGGTTTATTTAAGTAGTACCTACATTATACCAAAGTAACCGACATAGCTCGCAGAATTGCTAAAATCAAGTGGCAGTGGGCGGGGCACATAGCTCGTAGAGACGATGGCCGTTGGGGCAGAAAAGTTCTCGAGTGGCGACCACGGGCTGGAAGACGTAGCGTGGGCAGGCCTCCTACTAGGTGGACCGACGATCTGGTAAAGGTCGCGGGAAGAGCCTGGATGCGGGCAGCGCAGGACCGTTCATTGTGGAAAACCTTGGGGGAGGCCTTTGTCCAGCAGTGGACGTCATTTGGCTGAAACGAACGACCTACATTATGCAATAAAAATATTTGATTTCATCTGTTGTAAGTGCTTTTTAAAAAGCCTATTTGCAAAAATAATTTAGTTGTATGAGTTTTGTATGTCTGTCTGTACCTTCCTATAATATGTTCTCGTACCTGTATGGTGTTGAAGACGAGCTCAGCGATGCCCTGTCCCTCTACATTGATGAGGTGCGGCTGGAACAAGGCCTCGGGAGCCTCGAACCGCTCGCCGCCCACTTTGATCACCCGCCCGTCCGGCAGCTGGAATATTTCAAAGTCAAAATTTATTTATTTGTTTAGACTAATAAATAGTTCTTACAAATCGTCATTTTGCTCTTAAGGAGCCTCTACATGTCTGTATTAAATAAATAAATATCCTTGGACGTTTTACACTACGCTTCTAGCCCCAAACTAAGCAAAGCTTGTACTATGGGCACTAGACAACGGATATAATATACTTTTTTTTTTGTAAATACACACATATTATACATAGTAACACAGTAATTTGTGCCCGGCCGGGAATCGAACCCGGGACCTCTCGGCACAGTAGTCCGTTCCGAACCACTACACCAAACGGCCGACGCGTAAACACTCGCTTATTGCTACTTCAAAACTAGATATGGGACTAGTGGGCGTAGTGTGAATTTACATGAAACGCATTCGATGTCGAATGCGTAAAATAGGGACATGAAATGTATGACGGATTCTACGTACAGCGCCCCTAGCGGACACTTTCAAGAACTTGAATCTTCATATATTTTTTAACACGCTCGCTAGTGACGACGTTTGATGTAAATTCACTAAGCCCTCTGTAGGCTACGGCCATTAGAAGAGAGGAGAATATTTTTGAATTTGTCTAAAAGTTAGTAAGTTAGTTTAATTGAGACCAAAATTACCAGTTAATCAAAATAGGCTATCGTAAACTAAGATACTAAATCGATACTCGATAAAGTCATAAAAATCTGTTATTTTGGACAGTTAGGGGGATAATCGATTACAAACGATTATACGGCAACATAATTACTTTAAAGTTGCTAAAGTGCACTCTAAAGAACATCTATCAAAATACACAAAATTCTTGATTTAAAAAAAAACTGTAAACTTTTAAGTAAAAGAAAACACAATAATAGCTGTCGTATTTGCACACAAGTATAAGATCACAGAACCTTATAATTAAAATTATATTACTCCAAAATCCTTCAGCTCTCACTGCCATTGCAAAATGCACTCAACCACTCACCACATAAGGTTCGACCAGCACCGTGGTCTCCCACGCTAGCTTCTGCTCCTGTTCGATGTTGTAGCCGATGTAGCATAACTTCTCCTTCATCATGCGGACTGTCTCGAAGTCCGCTGAGTGGTTGAAGGCGTAACCACGAAGCAAAAGCAGCTGAAACAACACAATCAATAAAAAACCTCATCATCATCAACATTTCAGCCACAGGACGTCCATTGCTGAACATAGGCCTTGTACGTTGTATTGTTGACTTGCATTTTATTCATGCACTTTGGCCAGCTGCGCCTGACCTACATTTGGGATTTTGGTAGTTCTAAGTTTTTACAATCAGTGCAATAAAGCATTCGGCAGCTAATACACGTCTTTCAATAAATCCCATCAGCGGTTGATACGGCGTAGTTGTCTGACAATATCTTGACATCAGACTTACTTTGACACCACATCTTACAGGCCTCCCCCAATGACTTCCACATCGCACGGTTGGTAGCGGCCTGCATAAAACCTAAATAAAACTTCAAAAAACTTATTTATTTATGCAAGTAGGCTTTTAAAAAGCACTTGTACACGTCCCAGTATTAACCCTACCACTGCTTCGGGACAATAAATGGACCAGTGCTGAGAAGAAGCAGCGCAAGAAACTCAGTCACTATGGCTTGCAGCGTTAAAAAATCATCATTATCAACATCAGTAGGCCTAGGATGATCGCTGCTTTAAGTTTTTATCGCGCTATTTTATCGATTTTACGCGATAAGCCCATACATTTGTCATCTAAAATTATCGATAAGATTTTATCACCGCGCGCATTTTAGCCTGGGTGACATTAAATGTATGACGGATTGCAGCATGTAGCGGAAACTTTCAAGAACTAAAATCTTCATAGATTTTTATTTTTTTTGACGCACTCGCTAGCGAGCTCACCTAACGTAAACTCATGGTAAGCACACAGTGTCGCCGCGTGGATTACCTTACGAACTTGTACCTTGAGGATCGAATCCTTACCTTGATGAGGTATCTAGTGATGTCCCGGCCCGCGATGTCTAACCTCCTGGTTAGATGCGGGAGAGCGAACTCCTCGTACACAGGACAAATGTGCGTCACGCCGTCGCCTGAAACAAAGTCATCATCATCAGGTCATTTAAGGCCTCGTACACTATCTCTGAGTAAAGTGTCAAGTAGGCTACAAGTTACTTAGTCACGAGTAGCAACGAAACCATGACATTGACAAGACAACCGCACTTCGATGACTCTTTTATAATGCGAAAAGCTAGGGACTGAAATTCGTTGCCTGCTGCTGTCTTTCCCGAAGACTACAATCCGTGCCTTTTCAAGGCGAGAGTGAATAGGCACTTACAGGGCAGATATGTACCATCCTAGACTGCATACCGCCTAACACTAGGTGCGATTGTGGTCAAATACCAGCCTTGTTTGTTATGCATAAAAAAACCTAGTGGATATTGAATATGTGAATCAGTGTCAATCAGGAAGTAACTACTTAGGACTTAATTCATAGATGGTGAAAGAGATCCTTAACTCCCCGCAGACTGCAGATTTCTTTTCTCTTGGCCAATAGATAACAAAAAAATTGTTGCAAAACCGTCTCTATTCGCACTACCCGTACACCTTGACTTGCCAACGTTTGTACATTTTTGACATACCTGAATCCACCACCACGCCAGATATAAGTCCTTGGGCGTACAGGGTGAGCACCGCCTGTATGGCTATGTACGCGCTGTCGAAACCGTATTTCTCGAACATCACCTAGAACAAAAAATACTAGAAATTAGAATTGAATAAATTGTTTATTCGGTTTCATTCATGAATCTGCATATTTGGCCGGATAATTGATAGGTTTCGGATATCCGGCCGGTCTTGTAATCGTAAAATGGCAGTCAGAATACAGAGGGTGTGGGGGAGCCAGAATCCCTACCTACTATCCTACTACAGTTACTCGTATAGGATGGAACAGGATGTATACTTTCATAATGAATAAACAGTTTTTATCTAATTTATCTAGATTTTTTTAAATCGTTGTTTGATAAGTAAAGACTTTTGGTCCACCCTGTATAATAATATTGTGTTTTTAGAAACCTTACCATAGCTACACTACTCGCTTTCACACACTTCGACATTAAAAATCAAACAATCGGAAGTCGGGGGGAGGCTAAACGAGGTTGTTTGAAGCTAAGTGCATATCTGCACTATCTTACTTCGATTAACTTCGGCCAACTTCGTGAATAGTGTAGTTAAAGCCGGGTCTCCAGCGCGCAGCAAAATATTGTCCTACACAATCAACAAAAACAAATTTACCTAAAAAAAACATTTGAATGTTGGCATATTTTTGTTGATTTTGTAGGGCAAAACACGTGCTGGAGACCCGGCATATAGAAAAAGAAAATCTTTATTTGACACAAAATAAAGAACAAGATCTAAATAACAAAATTTAAAATATACAAATATAGGTATTTTGTGCCAAAAAGGTGCCCGCTCCGCTGGTTTTCAACGGGTGCCTCTTTTATGGTATTAAAGAAGACTCCTACCTCAATCATTTTCTCCCTGTTTTTGGTGGGGTTCATGGGCGGTTCGGTGAGCAGGATCTTGGTCTCGTGCGGGTCCACGTTCATCTTGCTCGGCCCGAAGGTGTAGTCCCACACGTGGCACATGTCCTCCCAGTTGCGTACCACCTGGGGAACATTGACAAGGTTATAAAACTAAAACTGACTGTGAGAAAGATCGTTTTGTTCAGCTACCTTAAAATGTAGCCTATGTTACCTAGGCCATAGTAACGAATCGATTAAGCCTAGGCGCCGACCACCATCTTTTAGTTGGCCGATAGTTGGGCTCGATTTTAATTTGTATGAAGAATCGGCCGATATCAAATCGGTGCAATGTGCGCACTTCCATACATGCCCATCCCATATTGATTAACTGCCCGACTAAACTATCGACCGACGAAAAATCGGTGGTCTGCGCCTAGGCTGACACCTTATTCATCTGAATAGGATGAATAGTTTGCGCTAAGGAGAAACATAGGTACTTAAATACAAAACACTCCTGCATGGGCTGCTAAAATCATGATTGACCTAATAGGAAGGAAAGTAACAAATGGATGTATTCTCTTTATAGAACTAAATAAATGTCTGTCTATAAATCTTATAACTAACATTTTCAATGTATCGCTGTTGGTTTCTATGAAATAAATAAATATGCTTTATGCATTTAAAAAGGCTTGAAAATGCAGTCGTATATTTAGGCAATCTCTTCCAGTCAATTTGTCACGCATGTTACTTTGTCTAAGTGGATTCATCATCATCATCATTTTCAACCATAGGACTGCTGATCATAGACCTCTCCCAATGATTTCCACAATGGCCGGTTGGTCGCGGCCTGCATCCAGCGCCTTCCCGCTACCTTTATGAGGTCGTCGGTCCACCTTGTGGGTAGACGTCCTACGCTGCGCTAAGAGGATTGATAGAGCAATATTTATATTTATGTTATTCAAAAGAAACTTACCCCATTCTCCATGGGGTAGCTGACTTCCAGCATGGATCTGAGCTGGGAGGCTTCATCTCCTACCATTAAGTCCTGAGGAAAATAATAGTCAATATTTTAGATAACTTACTAACAAACTCACCACTTTTACCACTGCATATGCATGTGCAAAAAGAAGCCAAGCAGAGCACATATAGAATCTGCACCCGCACGAAAGTCAGATGGGCTTCTCAAAATCTGATAAGACTCAAGGAATCAGTACTTGAAAACAAACTTCTGTGCATGCCCAGTGTCGACATGCATACGGAATGTAACTTCACCAAACTATATTCCGTAAACATACCTCCTAGAGACAAATGGCTAGAAGGCCAAATGTCATTTAAGGAAGGTAGTCACGTCTGGTACACGGACGGATCCAAAAAGGAAAATAATGTAGGTTGCGGGATCTACGGAGAGAGGCCTAAGCTCAAAGTAAGCCTAAACATGGGGACTGAAGCCTCAATCTTCCAAGCCGAGGTCTTTGCCATAAACAAATGTGCAGAGATAAACTTGGAAAGGAAGCTCCAGGATCAACACATCTACATCAACTCAGACAGCCAAGCAGCACTGCTGGCCTTAANGCCTACTAGTTTAGGCGTAAACTACAGACATCCCTAGATATTTAACAGTTCAGTTAGATATTCTAACTTTCGAGGAAGTTATTAATATTATATTTTGTGTAATGACTGGAAAATAAAGTTTTCAACAGCAATCTCTTTTTGAAAAAAAATTGGCATACAGCAAGTTATTCTCAACGCTATATTTTGTGCTCACTGTGTCACTTTTATGTGTTTTATATAATTAATCAATAAACTGGGTCTTATTTTAGGTAATAGAAGTGTTTTCATTCAGGGACATAAGACAAACCCATACAAATCAATACAATTAGTTTCATACAAATTCAATTTGTTATTTTGAGACATCTTATAGAATTCTGATCAATTCTGACAGGTTATTCATGCCGAAAACACAATGTTAGATGTAAAAACACATGCTTAAACGGTTTGTAACTTACTCCAATACAAATATCCTGTAACATTTAATTCTGTTTAGAAATTGTCTTTCCACAACATTAGAAAAAGATCTTACACAATCACTATAGTGCCTGATTGCTATTGGCACTGTAATTATGTAGATTAACAGGAAATAAGGATTAAATTTGGTTAATTTTGCAAATGGTTTGTCTGTCAATATAATAATAACTTTATATTGCATTTAATAACTTATCTTTAGCATACAGATAACTGATACATGTTAAGTAACATCCAAAGAGGATAATATAAACCTAAACTGTGTGATAATTTTATGTTGAGATCTCCAGCAAAGAATGAGTGCACCAACCTTAACATCAATATCTCCGATTTTGTTCTCCGCTCTGATGATAGGCCTGCCTACCATCGACGGGAATATGAACGCGGGGAAGTTGCTGCCAGCGTATCCACATTTTACGAACTAGAAACAGAATATTTTCCTTTAGGATGTGATGATTCAGTGAGCTTATCACAGCGTTGATAACTTGAGATTTTCCATCAACTTACACCTGTTCCGTTGTCGCAAACAATGACTTTCCTTCCTTGGTCATCCATTGTTGTATTTTGGATTGATTATTAGACAAAATATTGGTTTCTTTTCGAAATATTTACAATATTTCCACCTGCGATAAAACCACTATCCCCGCAAGTTTTTTTTTTTAAATTGACGTTTGAGTAATGATGACAAATCGTCAAAATAGTAGTTAAATCTAAATTTAAATTGAACCGTATGTATAGGAGTTAGTGTTCAAAATCTAATGCAATTTATATTTGACACGCCTAAATTAGTGTTGCTATTCTTTTCAATTAATTTTCAATTTATTCCCAATTTGATTGAAACGTTTATCAGCTGAAATGAGGACTGAAGCCTCTCTTAATCCTTGTAGGATACTTATGCGGAGGAGTAGAAAATCATAATTTACCTCTCAAAACCAAAACTCTCAATGGTTGATTAGGTAATTTTGGGTCTTTAATCATACTCTGGCATTTAAGCATGCTCTCAATTCCGTAAACAATGGTAGTTTTTATAAAAAAAAGTACTGTCAAGCTGACATTTTCAAATGTCAAATTTTGACAGCATGGTGCGCATTTCACGTGTTGTAAATTTTAAAATTTTCACATAAATTTATCAAAATGAAGCACAAAAGGTTTGAGGAAAATATTTTAGTCGATGAAGCTTACACAAATTATGGTAAAGTTGACAAAAATGCTGATGGAAAGAAAAGTCAGGGTATTGCAAAACATTTTGCGGAGACACTCGAATATGAGGAGAAAAAGAAATGGTTTCATCAGGTAAATACTGCATATTCTTAATAAAAACCTAAGATTCTTAATAATACTAAAGTCCTCTTATTTGAAGACTGAATGATCGTGTTGAAAAATGGCAGAACTTAACAATTTCAAACATATTCATCTTACATTATTAGGAGAGATTTGTCGTCTAAATTACGGTTTAAATACATTTTACTCTGTTATCATAGCTCCCTGAAGAACCCAGTACAATAACAAAGGTGCTTACACCAGAACAGATAGAAGAAGTGCGAAAGGAAGCAAGTAGTGCACTGCATGGTGACACAGCGGCATACGAAACCAGTAAGTCTTGTTTCTAATAATGTGAGGACTAGATATACAGGGTGTCCCCAAATTAACACTTCACTGACACTGGAGGTAGCTGAGTCTAAGACGCATCAAACAAGCTTAATATGTCCATAGAAAAGTTTCAAAGTTTAAGATATGACCAATTTTATTTATTCATGTTCATAGAAAAGTTTAATGAGTTTTGAAATATGACTCTTATTAGTTATTTTTAAAAATGGACTTAAAATACTTGTTATATGCGTCTTGAGCTCATTTACCTCTGGTGTCAATGTGACATGCAAATTTTGGGACAACCTGTATGTAGATAATGTCAACAAATGTGGCTAAAAAGGTCTGTTCCCTCCCTGTTCAGTAGAATAGCTCTTTTAACAATTATAATACAATTCATGACCTGATATAGTGTGAGCTAAAAATAAGCCTTTAATAAAAAAAACTTAATAAGATTGTTATCAAAATTAAACCAATCTCTGGCTTGGTTACTTAATTAGGTCTTGAGTTTTATATCAAGTTTTTAGTCTTATTCCACAAAATGTGTGTTTACTAACAAAAGCAAATCTATCTTATATTTCAGAATCAAACAGAAGTGGTTCATCCGACCAGCAGTGGGCTAGGACTCTGTTGAACAAAGGAGCTATAGGAGACAGGGTAGCAGCAGCCACAATATTGATTCAGGTAATAAATTTCAAATTATCATGGAAATACAGAAATGCCCATAATGTTTATAATATTTTATTTACTAAAGTTCACAACTTCTTGTTTAAATTAACTGAACACGTCAGGACATTGACTATTTATTTTAAAATATTGATTCTCTTGTAAATAATTGAAATACAGCAGGGCATATCAGATAGTTGTAAGAGTTTTCAATGCTTGTATCATCTTTAACAGTTAAAACGTATCTGTTTTGGGACATGCAAGTAATTTTTTGCTATACTTTTCCAGGATAACCCTCTCTACAACTTGACAGCACTCAGAAATCTTGTCAACAGTGTCAAACCAGCCAAGAAAAAGGATGGAATCATTGTTATAGGTAATTACCTAAAAACAATAATATTCCTAACCAATTGAATATTCCAGTAATCACTTAGTCCTAAATTATTTGATTATTTTCAAGCTTAAGCCTATTTTTACAGAAATCCAATACAGTAAATTCACTATTTCACATGACTTGGCTTCAATAGTTAAGTTTTCAGAATGTTCTTATCTTATGTTCTTACTAAAGTCTGGTCACCGAACACGTAGAATTTTGTCCAATGACCCCAAGCTATCTTAAACGCTCGCGCGTAATTATATTTCTGTCGCGACTGTGCGACGGGCGCCCGCAGTGAGTGTGCGAGCGCGACAATATAATAATTACGCGCGAGCGATAAGGATGGGTAGCTTGGGGTCATTGGACAAAATTCTACGTGCTCGCAGACCAGACTATAGTAAAATGATTTTATAAGATAAACAAACTAATTTACTATATTAATAATTCCTTCCACCAGATGCACTGTCAGAGCTCCTAATATCCGAGCTGCTAATCCCTGATGCGAAGCTGCGAACACTCGAGCAGCACCCACTGGGCCACCTGGACGAGATGACTTCAGGCAATAAACAGGCGCGCAGGAACATACTCAAGCTGTGGCACTATGAGGACCAGCTCAAGGAGTTGTACGGAAGTAAGTATAGCAACATTAAAATGAGAGCTGTGGACACTCTAAAGTGATGTTCATTATGTAGTACATAAGTACTTATGCTGGTTTTAGCATCGCGCTGACGCCCGCTGACCGTCGGCGCTGACAGTCAAAATGTATGAAACGTTGTGGTGCTTGTTGGGCTACCAATTTGAAGATTATAGTTGATAGTACTAACTCATGGGCTATGATACTATGGCCAAGGCCCCCCTTGAAAAAGAACCCTAGAGCAATGAGCTTGATACACCAATGAGCTTGACATTTCGTAGAAAACTGTGGTTACATACAGTCTGGGTGTTGGTGGTGTCACATATAATGGATGGAACGCGAAATTTAAAAACCTTCAAAGCATTATTATGTTTTCAAAAGTTGTTTGGATTTAGTAGCATAAACTCATGTTATGACTTCAATCTGTTTTCAGTCACAAGAGAAAAGAAAGAAAATTTGTTTATTTAACCCAAAATTCTTATAAAGTGGACAGAGATTTCTTTTTCTTCATAGTTTATAAAATGATCACATCAATCTACTGCAATTGCTCATAATTACTTATTATGTTTTGGAACTTTAAATACTTGTTATATTTATGATTTTTTTTAGTTTACTTCCTAACATGTTCTGTACTTTCCCAGCTTACGTGGAAGCGTTGAACAAGTTTGCGCACGACTCGGTGGAAGCGAACAAGGAGAAAGCCGTCAGCGCCATGTCTTATCTGCTTATGCATCACCCGGAGAGAGAAAAGGTAATATAATTCTAGCTCTTAACATATTCTAAATATGTAAAAAATTCTGTTATGAGTTACTGTTTAAAAATTCAAATACTCACATGAAAAACGTTATCCCCAAAACCCCTGGAAATACTCATTATTATGTACCTTATTTTTCGAGGGACAAACTCGAGACACTTAGATTTCTTAACGCGGGAGACTGCCTAAACATTATGGATGCAATAAAGTATTGAGTATTAAAGATTCCGATATGTCTGAGCTTCAAATACTAAGTAAAAGTAGCCAAAAAGTTCGCAACCCGCCTTTGTTACGGATTAAGTTTGTTAAGGGGGTCCTGCACAGAATCCTTAAAATTGTCATATTTTTAAATCACGAGTGCTCTGCGATTAGTGACTTAAATACATCAAAATAACTTGTGTAGGGTAGCCCAATCCTTGATCTAGGTCGCCGCCTTTTCGAAATTTTGAATAAATACGTAAAAAATTGATAAACAACATTTAAAATGCAGACATATGGAAAATTTATTTCTTCGAGAACTTTGTTAATTTAACGTATGAAGCAATAATTTTTATATGGAAATGTTTAAATTAATATTTTGAAGGTCGCCCCCTTTTTCGTTTTTGGTATTAATGCATTAATATTGAGAATTTTTGATTTTCCCAAAAAAACTTTGCCGTGAAGAAATCATCAGGCGTTTTGCTTTATCGTAGCTGTCAAGTGTCAAATGTGTGTTTGTCAATCCTTTACAGAGTAGTGTAGAGCGCAGAGCATGCAAATTGTATCTCTTTTGTTATGACTTCGATTGTTACGAAAAAATATTTTACTTATTTTATAGTTAACTAGCTTTCCGCCCGCGGCTTCGCCCGCGTGGAATTTTGTCTGTCACAGAAAAACTTTATCGCGCGCGTCCCTGTTTCAAAAACCGGGATAAAAACTATCCTATGTTCTTTCCCGGGACTCAAACTATCTCTATGCCAAATTTCATCAAAATCGGTTGCGAGGTTTAAGCGGGAAAGCGTAACAGACAGACAGACAGACAGACAGACAGACAGATTTGAAGCGGGGCTTCGGTGCTGCGACAGCTGGTGCTGTGACTGCTGGTGCTGTGGCGGCTGGTGCGGAGACGGGTCTCGCAGGCGCCGCAGGCTGGGTGGTGTCGGCGTCCTCTGCTTCTGGCAGCAGGAGGTCCCGGGGGAGGGGGCGGTTGCCCGGGGGGCGGGCTGGTGTAGGCGCGATGTTGTGGAGATGGCAGTGGGGGCCGTTGTCCGCGCGGTCATACATGACCCGCGCCAGGCGCGTGATGAACTCCTCCACTGTCTCCACGTTGATGTCCCGGGCAATGACGTCATTGCGGACGTATCGCCCCGCCCCGGTGATGACGCGGAGGGACACGTTCTGCTGCGCCTGGATCTTCTCCTTGTTGGTTCGGGAGATGAGGGGGTACCACGCTGGGGCCGCGTAGGTGAGGCGCGACCGGACATACGTCTTGTAGACCATCAATAGAATGGAAAGACGCTACGTTAACAGCCTATTTGAATTGAACGTCTAGGAAAAATACTCTTTTTCGAAACTTTTTTAACGCCTTTGTTCATCAGAAGAATCAATATTAGTTAGGATTTTTATTGTGTAAGAATTTTCGCAGCAATACCAACAAAAAATCAAATCCTTCCTTTTTCCTAATTAAAGTATTATAAACTCACGTTTTGTTTAGCAAAATTAGTGAAATACGTGTTTTTACTCTGTATTGAGTCTCTTTTGTCTCTACTCTGTAAAGTAGTTCGTGTGCGATCGTGTTAGTTCGTTGCGCCACCGCTATCTCGGCTAGCAAATCGTAATTTTTCGTCGGCGCTGCACCCCCTTAACGTTTTCGCCACTTTGAGTGTCACGAATTGTTTGACGCTAACTGAATTCATAGTACAAGCTGTGTTTAGTTTCAGACTTTTATCACATAGATGTAAGCCCAAGAATATTTATTGCATTTGGACCTATATTTCAGATGCTCCTAACGAACATAATCAACAAACTGGGAGACCCGTCACAGTCAGTTGCATCGAAGGTAATATACCACCTGTGCCAACTGCTGTACAACCATCCCAACATGAAGTCTGTGGTCTTGGCTGAGATTGAGAAAATGCTGTTCAGGTTTGTAGCTATTTTTCAGATATAGACCACGGTGTAAGCTAAACGGTTTTGAATTTTATGTGGTTGTGCCTTAACCTATTTTTCACTTTAAATCAAAACATTATGTTATGGGCATCATGGAAAAGTAATATTATGCAAGAAACATTCCAAACTCATTATGCCAAATTATATGATATCAAAACGTTCAAAAATTTTGGCTGTACAAGAGCATGTACACAAGATGTTGTTCTCTTTTATGATATTTGTTAGTACTAAGGTTGAATTATTAAATAATCACTGTTAAATGTTATTAATTTATCACTTTTACCGTGACTGTCGGTAATTATTCATAATAACCGGTTATTATTCATAATTTTCATTTTATCACATTAACCGTGACATATATTTCTGACTTATTTTGTTTCGTTCTAGGACCAACATATCGCCGCGTGCGCAGTACTACGGCGTGTGTTTCTTGAATCAGTTCTTCTTGGGCAAGGACGACTCCAAAATAGCGGAGAACCTCATCAGGATCTACTTCTCATTCTTCAAGGCTTCGATTAAAAAGGTAAAGTAATTAACCTTATTGTAGAAAATATTATGACTATGTAATTCCAGAAAAATAACCTTATACTATTCTCAGGATCAACCCACACTCCACAGCTCGCACTAAGCGATTCGATAATCTATACTTCTATACTAATATTATAAAGCTGAAGAGTTTGTTTGTTTGTTTACTTGAACGCGCTAATCTCAGGAACTACTGGTCTGATTTGAAAAATTCTTTCAGTGTTAGAAAGATCATTTATCGAGGAAGGCTATAGGCTATATACCATCACGATACGAGTAATAGGAGCAGAGGAACAATGAAAAATTATGCAAAAACAGGTTTTCACGCGTACGAAGTCGCGGGTGCAGCTAGTTCTTTTATAATTTGAATAGCTAGGATTTGGAAATCGTTGCCTCCTGCTGTCTATCCCGAACACTATAATCCGGGCTTTTTCAAGGCGAGAGTGAATAGGCACTTTTACAGGGCAGATATGTACCATCCTAGACTGCATCTCACTTAACATCAGGTGCGATTGCGGTCAAATAATGTTATGCATAAAAAAAAGGAAATAGTTGTGTATGCCTTCCACTTGGTGGATCGACGACAACCTAACACAACCTTTAGGTTGTAATATGCGGGCGTGGCAGGACCAGTCGTTGTGAAAAACCTTTGCCCAGCCGAACCTTTAATTCTACCAAGACGTAGAATTAATGTTTCGGCCAAACCAATGCTGCTGCCGAACCGAAAGCCGAATGAAAATTAAAATTGTATGATATATCTTGACATTCTGATTTATTTATATTTTTATTTAATTTAATGTAACGTAAAGAATTGAAGGAATGATTATTAAAGAAATGTTTTTACTCTTTGAAAGAATTGTATGATCTCAAAAATTAATTTGAATTTGCATTTATTAAAATAATTTAGGTTAAGCTTAATTAATATTATGTATGATGTTGCAATGCCCTCACAGGGCTCATGTTCTGGGACTATTTTATTTTTAATACCTTGTTTGTACCACATGAAGCAATAAAGATATTATGATTATGATTCCAGGGAGACATCGACTCTCGTCTAATGTCCGCCATACTAACGGGCGTCAAACGCGCGTACCCATTCGCGAACAAAGACCGTCTTTCCGATACTCCTGCGCACATCGACGCTATACATAAGCTAGTACATCTAGCTAGTGCAGGCGTCGCTATACACGCATTAGCGTTGTTGCATCATACTTGCATGGCGTCTCAGACCGCTGCCGACCGGTGAGTAAAACCTAAAACTCAGCAATGAGGGCTATCGTCACAGAATAATAATAAGTACTACGTACAGAAGTTTTACTTCGCGAAGGTATTTAAAAAAATGTATGCTCAATGTCATTCACAATATGGTGTAATTTAGCCTGTCTCAAGAGTCAAGCACCATTTTGTTGACAAACGTCAGTGATCGGCACTGCGCCGAAGCTATAGGGCTGACTTCGGTAAAATGATGTGACGTGAGGTGCCAAACTGCGTAAAATGGCGGAGGAAATACATTATATAGGATGAATTATCATGAATAATATTAACTACTTATTTACCTCTCAGTGTCTTGAGGCAACTTAAAAAAGTACATTCTGTGTTTTTATTATTATTTAGGCAGTTAAATACTGCACAGTATTTAGTACACCATTTTCTTTATTTTCTTCCATCATACACAGAATACGCGTGCGTGAGTCAATGTTCGCTCGTATGTGAGGCCTTGTCGAATAGTATCCTGTTGGGCCACCGTGCGTGTTTTGTTTTCGATGTAAACTCGCGGAGATGAACAGGCCTGCTATCATTTTTATACTTAACAGTTGGCACC